CCATAGTTTTTTTCTTTACTGTTTTTGCTTACTTTTTCTTGCTTTTAGCTACTCTTTTTTTTCTTTTTATTATTATTTATTTATTTACATTTTAGGGTCTGTTATGGGCTGTTTAATTCATTTAAATAGTTTATGCTTTGAATATCGTACTTATTGTGTTGTAAGTCCATGTATCTAGCTTGTTGTGTTATGCCACTCATGTTTTGATAGCTTTTCTTTGTTCATTCTCATGTCAAGAGTCTCATTTTGAGTAAATCAATCTCGCGTGGTCATCTTTGCAAGCTCCCTCTTTTCTTCTTTTATTTTGTTCGAGAGTTATTTCAAACAGTTGACGGTTGTTCAAGGCATGGAAAAGAAACCTATGCACATTGGCTTAATCTCTACGGAGGTTCATTGTCAAGGCAAAGGCTCTCTTTCATGCCAAGAATCACTTCTCGTTTGATGTCTCCTCTCATTTAGTGGACTTAATCATCATTTTGAAAAAATTGATTAAAGAATGGAAAGGACTGATAAAATGGGCTTAAAATCAATGAAACCAATGTAAAGAAGATGAGTAAGGTTGCTTGAATTCAGCTGGACGTTATGCCGAATCCATAGTGTCAAGAATCGTCGCGCACCAATTCATGATATGTTGATGAAACTTGCTTCGTGTCTATCTCCTTCCTTTAAGTTCATTCCCTAATAAGGAGAGAGGAGTGGTCATGCATAACATTTATTGATTTTTTGTCCGGTTGTCTCTGAAATCATCAAGCAATCAATTTGTTTATTGATGGTTTTGGGACTTGCTTCATTCTTCTCTTGAGGATTCCCATGACAGAGAAGCGTAAAAAGGACAAACAGAGCTCAGAGCAACTTTGTCTGTACTGCTTTCCCCTCAGAACACAGAAACAAGGTTTTACACAAAATTAGGGCACGACCAGCCTTATTTGGGCCCGGTTGGGCCTTACTGGGGATCGACTGGCCTTCTATGTTTGGTAAACAGTGTGTTTTGCAGAAGCAGAGGATAGTAACTGAAGGTGAAATAGGATAAATTCCAAGGAAGGCAGACATAATTACTTTTGAAACTGCTATGGGCATGCTATTCTTGTGCTTCCATTGTAAATTGTAAATTAATACTCTCATTATTGTTGTAATAATTATCGTTGTAATTAGTATTGTTGTTGCAATGATTCATTAGATGGTTAGTTTATTTTGTTGTAATAAATTAGCTAGTTAGTTGATTATAACTTAGCTAGTTAGTTGTTTATTCATTCATTCGATTTTGTAATAGTTAGTTTAATTTGGACACTCGGACATTGATCTGCACGCTCTTGCTTGAGGGCAAATGTGTAATAAGCATGTATGTCTTCCAACTCCATTTCTTTCTCTTTACCCGCTTATGATGGATAGTTTAGAGCATCATATTTCGTTTAGCATTTCTCATGATTTGCATCCATTGTCTTGCATGCATTAGGCTTGGCGAATCATTCTAACTCAGATTGTTATTTATTTCTTCTTTGAAAATGTGCTCAAACCGCATGCTATCAAGTTGATTCACATGCCATGTTAGTAGCCAAGCCAATTTAAATTGCATATTGCAGGTGTTGCATTAGTCATGTTGCATTAGTTAGGAACATGCATATTTTCTAACTCTTTTGTTTCTTTTGGCTTGCCTTGGAGTACGAGGTGAACACTTTTTGCTTTAGCATATCGCATGCGTGTGATTGTTGCCATGTCAAACATATTTACTATGAGGTTAAGTGCTTAATTGATATAACTCTTTGAATACCTGTGGATGAAGGTTAATTACGAAAATTGAGATAAATTGATTCAAGTAAATACGAGCCTACTTTTTCAAGTAGTACGTATTCAAACCATTTTTCTCAAAACAAAACATGAAATCAAAGCATTCTAACTTTTACAAATTAGTTTATACTTGTATCATATAGTAACATTAGCTTAATAATCGGAACAAGAGTATATAATGTACATAAAAATCACATCATGATCAGTAGAAGTTGATCTTTGATCGGGCAAGCGGAGTGTTCAATTCATGACATTCCCTTCTCGTACTTAAGTTCCCATGCCGAGACACTTTGGTGATGACGGATAAGTGGCCGAGACACCAGATGGCATTTTCAACCGGCACAACTAGGTTTTATTTTTTGGAAAAATTATGCAAATAGCCTCTGTATTTTACACGATGTGTCAATTTGGTCCTTATAATTTCAATTTGCCTGATTTTTTCCCTTAATTTAATGGATTGTGTCATTTTAGTCCAATAAACAACGGTTGTTAAGTTAATTTAATGGAAAGTCAAACAATGTATCAATTTGGTCTCTGTATTTTTCACTATGTGTCAATTTAGTTTCTGTCAAAATCGAGAAAATTGAAACTATAGGGACCAAATTGATATATCGTGTAAAGTACAAGGACTAAATTGACACATTATTTGACCTTCCGTTAAATTAATTTAACAACCGTTATTTACTAAACTAAAATGACACAATCCGTTAAATTAAGGGGCAAAATCGAGTAAATTGAAACAACAATGACTAAATTGACACATCGTATAAAGTATAGAGACTATTTTCATATTTACCCTTGTTTTTTTGTTTTTGTTTTCATTAACATAAAGTAAGATTTTAGCGAATTAAAAATTAGATTACTATAATCTTAAACTTGAAACCTTATCTCGGTGCACTCTAAGGCCTCGTTTGGGAACAGGCTAATTTAGTAACTTGTTGGCTATTTGGCTAAAAAGGTAGGTAAAAAAAACTTGTATATTTGGGATGACTTTTTGGCTAATTACGAAAAGATGTGCAAAAAGTAGAGAGAAAAAAGAATCTTTGACTTTTTGGTATGGGTTGTTGGCTTTTTGGCTAATTTAGTAACTTTTTGGCTAATTGGCAAAAATAGCCTCTTGCCAAACGAGGCCTTAGACTAGTACTCGGATTGCCCGTATAGATTTAAAATTCAATAAAGAAAACAATAATTAAAAAAAAATCATCTTAGAATTCTTTATTTTATTTTAATTTTTTTTTGGAATGGTAAAAGCATTAAAAACTAGGCATGCCTAATTAAATAGAAAATGTCATAGATTTCAAATTTTCTACTAAATAAATGACTAAGGCCTCGTTTGGGAACATGCTAATTTAGTAACTTTTTGGTTATTTGGCTAAAATATGAGCGAAAAAAAATTAGTATGTTTGGGATGATTTTTTGACTTTTTATGAAAAGATGTGTAAAAAAATAGAGAGAAAAGAGAATCTTTAATTTTTTGGTATGAGTTGTTGGCTTTTTGACTTTTTTAGTAATTTTTTGGCTAAACCGGCTAGTCTCCAAACAAGGCCTAAATGTTTCACATGAGTGTAAGGTTCACAAAAAAGTATTGACTCCATACTCATATAAGGCATTTAGTCATTTATTTGATAAAAAATTTATTACCTCTAATATTATACTAATTAAATTGCCCTTTATGTCAGGAATATGAGGTGTCAAATTAATTTGGTACGATTATTATTATTATATTTTTTTGGAAGTGCTGCCAGCCCCTCTGACTCAATATTTGTATGAATTATAGGAAATTACATTTCTCCCTATATATAGTTCTCAAATTGGATCACAGCGCTTCACAACCAAAAGCACTACTATACTACTCTTCTATTCTTCATTTCCCAAATCACTCTCTTTGCTCTTTGTTGTTTGCTCTTTCATTCCTTTTGCTTTTCAATGGCGACTGTTGAGGTTACTCAACTTAAACTACTCTACTTTTTCTTTTATCTATCAATCTATATATGATTTCATATTTGATTTACCTATTTATGATCAGATTTGTTTTCGTAACTTTGTTATTGTAAGATCAAAATTTGACGGAAATCATAATGTTTTTTTATATCCCATATTTATGGTGGTGATGACTAGCAAAGCATGATGATCTCTCTCTACAAATCTTGTCGCTAGTTTGTCAACTTGCAAACTATGCAAACAAGAAAAACATATGATGATCATCTATGCCAGTTGTTAGATCGATCAATCGATTGATCGCAAATTCAAGCTTGTTACTGGATTCATGAGCATCAAGATCAAGCACTGGCCTTTTTTGTTGATCAAAAAAAAAAAAAAAGATCAAGCACTGGCTTACTATTAAATCCACCCATCATTTGTGTAATCTCCTGTATAGTGTTTTGTTTGTGTTTGCAACACATATTACAGTGATTGATCTATAATCCGTATCTAGATCTTTCAAAACATCATCATATGATATATATATATATGTATTTATCAAGTCTAGTAATCTCATAGAATGAATCACAACTGTGAGACAAAGAGCGGATGATCGGTTAGGCATTTGCTGTGATGGTGAACGACCTGCTGTGATCCTCTTTGCTTTCCTTCTTCTTTGTTGATGTAATCCTTTATGTTTGTACATTTTGATCTCGTCAATGAAGTTTATTCGGCTGATAAAAAAAAAAAAAAAAAACTGTGAGACAAAGAGCGGAAATGATGTGGAGCTCATGTGCATCCCATCCTTTATCTTACATGTGTAACTTATTTTCGTGAACTTCATATGCATTTCTAATATTACTGTACATGTACATATATAAGCTTGTTATAGTATGCTTCGCCGTTTTTCAGGCCTAAGGTGAAAAAACTTATTGGGACAGTTTTTTGTTGCTACTTTTTTGTTTACAATTGATTTTTATTGCTTTTTGAGATACAAAAGTACTAATTAATTGTTTTCATATTTAATTTTTCTTACACGAACTACAGAAAATATATGATTTACGGTGTTTATTTAATGGCATTTTTTAAAACGTCATTATTTCTAATATTTAACGGCGTTTTATAAACGTCACATTTTATTTTAATTAAAACGGTACCGTTTAAGTAATGAAATCATTTGAAAAGCGCCTTCAAATGTGTTAACAGTGTTTCTCTCTTTCTCTCTCTTCAAACCCTCAAATCTCTCACCCATTTATTTGAATCTGAGAAACCCTAGAGTCTCAGAGAAACCGATCCCTCAAATCTCTTATTCTCTCTCTCTCTAAACCCTTCAACTCGATTCAACCTTCTTCAGCTCGGTGATTTATCATTCGGTCGATCCAATCTCAGAATGATTTTGATTTCGAAGCTCCACCTCCACCGCCACCGCCACCGCCACCACCATCTGCCTCTGCATCTACATCGTCTATTAAGCATCTGCACGATCTCAATTTCAATCCAATCTTAGTTTTATCGATTCTTCTCTCTCTCTCTCTCTCTCTCTCTCTCTCTCTCTCGATCTCTGTCTTTGTCTCTATCTTTATCTCCCTCTCTCTCGATCTCTCAATCTCTCTCTCATAATGATTTTGGTTTTGTTGACAAATTTTGTGACAAAAATTAGGGGTTTGTGGCTTTCATCGTTTATTAACACAAGATTGTGGAGCTTTAACTCCCATCTTTGCTTTCGATTGCTGGTTAGATGGTGATTTGCTGTGGTTTTTTATTTTGTTTATTTGTTTATTTTTTGTAGTGGTATTTTTCTGGTAGAATGAAGATACTTATACATTTGTCAAAGAAGATAGGTATATTTTAGCTTTTGCAATTGTATTTTTGCTGTATATTCAATGTCATTACTTGTAAACATGTATTCAGGATTGTTCTTCGAATTTTTTAACTTACAAATAGAGGAAAATCTTCCTAAATCATTTCTTTAAATTTTTACTGAAGCGTATCATTGATACTATATTCTTTGTTCAGTCTTGTACAGGGAAAACCTTTGTTCAGTCGTTTCGAGCATGGATGTTACGCCATTTTGCTTCATTTGTTGTGAATTGAGATCTGTGTATACAGATAGTGTTGAGTATAATGCATCATTACTATCGGTGCCATCTCCTGTCTTTTTGTATTCTTTTGCATCGTCTTGATGTGCTCTCAATAAAGTTGCTTATTTATCAAAATAATAATAATAATAATAAATTTAAAAAATATTTGGTTACATGTGGAGATAGTATTTTCTTATATTCTTTCTAATTCGTTGATGAAATTACGTGTTGTGTTACCGACCTACTTCATTTGATGAGTTGTTCCTCTAGTTCGCAACATGAGGATGACAACTTTATTTAAAATTCTTGCTACTGTTACTGAAGCATGCCAGCCATTACCCTTGTTTCAATAGTGTAGCCAATGGGTTTAGTGGCAGTTTGGCTTAGCTAATTGTATCCAGATCAAATAGATATTCAATAATTATTAACCTCGAGGCTGTGGGTTCGAACTTGAGGGCAACTAATTTGTGCAAATTATGAGAAAGGTTAGGTTAGGACTCAATTTATCCCTTCCAGACCCATATCCAATAGGGACTAAACTAGTCATACACACAATCATCAGGTGATACGGTGATCATTGCTCATAAATGAACATCTAGCACTGGATTTGATTTTGCCTTGGCCATCATTTTGTCAAGCTGTTACATATGATGTCCAATGTTGTTTTGATGGTGTGAGTAAGCCTGCTTTGGCAGCAATCAGTGGTTCAACAAGTATAATTGAAATATAAACCACTGATTTTGAGTTCTTTGTTGCTGGTAAATACTAAATAGTAAATATAGTCACTCTTTACTAGTTTGTGTTTTTGCATGTGCTTGTGTTTGCTAGCATTTAAATTAGAGTTTTTCCCATTTGTTTTGCAAAATAAAACATAGTACATAATTTTCTTTTATTGAGCAATATATACATTTGATTCTGATATATTTTGCCTTGATAATTTTAGGTCACCAACAATTATTTCCATTCCAAAGTCATCTGACAGTGTCTCCTCTAGTTCATCACGGAGCAAGACTCGGGGGAGGTTAACTTGCAAGTTAGTATATGTTCTTGAAGTTGTTAAGTTGTGTCATGGGTGGATGTATCTTCATCATCTTTTCTAGTTTGATTGACTAAGTTGGCTGATTTAGTGGACTAAAGCCTCGTTTGGCAAGAGGTTATTTTAGTCAATTAGTCAAAAAGTTACTAAATTAGCCAAAAAGCCAACAACTCATACCAAAAAGTCAAAGATTCTCTTTTCTCTCTACTTTTTGCACATCTTTTCGTAATTAGTCAAAAAGTCATCCCAAACATACAAGTTTTTTTTACCTACCTTTTTAGCCAAATAGCCAAAAAGTTACTAAATTAGTCTGTTCCCAAACGAGGCCTAAATACTTGATTTTTGTCTTTTTCTCAAGAGATCTGCAATTGCACAAGTTGGTATTTCAGGATGATGCACTACCTGATGGAACTGAACCAGCTTATTTTGTTCGTGGGCAGGTTGTTAAGAAGAGCACATACATATTATTATTTTGGTTTAAGGAAATGTTTATGTTGCTTTTTATAAAGATCAAATGTATTAAACAATTAACATATATATTTTTTTTATTTTTTGTGGAAACAACGCTTTCCCAATGAAGCACCTTGTTGTGACATGTATTTGTTTTCTGATTACTTGTCATCTACAGAAATGCGCAAAACGTTATAAGAAATTCTTAATAGTTTCTCTTTAGAAGCTTAAGCTGTCTCTTAATAGTTTACATAAGCCTTCACCAATAGAAGGCTCTTGAAAATGGTTCCACTAAACAAAAACATTTTTCAATTTGGTTATAGAAATTCTTGCCTCCCATGGACCAAATGCATGCAAAAACTTTGTTGTGTGGTGTCTTTTTGCTAAATTCTGCAATTTAGTTTTGTCTCTTTCTCTTTAATTTATTTTTTTATTTCCTAATCAGCATTTGTGAGCCTATATTTTTCTACACGTTGATGATGCATGCAGGGACCATGGTTTCAGCAAATCAGTATTTGGCCCTCAGACAGTTATACTGTGTGACCAGGTATTTTGTTGATATTTTTGTCTTTGCTTTGCCATGTTTGAGTTTCCATGTTCTTTTTTTGGTTCTTAAATACTTTTGATTTTAACAAATGTTTTAATCTCTCTCTCTCTCTCTCTCTCTCTCTCTCTCTCTCTCTCTTGCGTGCTACCTTTTTCTACTTTTAGTGTGAGAAGGAGTATCACATTCGCTATTTAAAGGAGCATAAAGTGGTTCTGTTGCATGGACTGCAACAGGGTTCATTCTGCTTTACAAAATCTGGTAGTTAGTGGAGAATAAAAGTTACAGGACTCTCTGCTGAGCATTATACAGAAGAAGCTGGAGGAGAAAGGTTCCGAGAGTAGTGCTGATCTTGATATAAAATGGAGGCTTCTTAGTGGCCAGATGGCTTCTGACGACACCAGATTGTTGCTCTCGAAGGTTGTTTCTATCTTCCATGTGAGTATATTGTTGGTTGTTATTTTCCAGTGGAATTTATCTTTCTTTCAGGGTTCTTCTTGTATGATTAATGAAGAAGAAAGAACGAATGAAAGGAACAGAATACAAGGCAATGAAAGCTATAACCATCACAACAACCCATGGAATGAATTTTCTAAAAGGACTTTTTTTTATTCAAAGTTTTTACACCAAAAAGTTTGAGGTCCAGCATTTAGGTGTAAGATTACTTTGAAGGGATTAAGTATGAATTAACTTTGTTATTAGTTTTATGCACTTGAGCTCTTTTAAATATGGCCTATTGATGTGTAGAAGCCATTTCTTGAAGAAGTGATTGTTGTTTGGCATGCCATGTATCTTATTATACTGAGCTCTTGCTTCCAAATTGCATCAATACTAACCCAAATTAAGTGGCACTGGGAGATGGGCGCTCATGGATACTTTATTTTGAATGGTTCCAGCTATCAAAATTGAAACAATTTCTTTTATGGTGTACTTATTCCCTGTTATTTCTTATATGTTAAAGTGGAGTCATTTTCTGAAACTACTATTGCCCTATGTAAATATGTTTTGCTTGTTGTCATCAATTTATGGATTTCAGCCATTGAGATTTTCACTTATCAACTGAGTTAATGTTGGGGACAGTTGGTAGCTGCCGTTTTTCTAGGCCTTCCATGATTTTAGTTGATGTTTCACTGTCTTGAACATGAAAGAAATATTGTCACAGGAGCACTAATAAGTTCTTTTATTTCATGGTTGGACTTTAGGATCGGTTTGACCCGATAGCAGATTCAAACACAATCCGTAATGATCTTATTCCTCACATGGTTTATGGGTGAATATTAAAGTTCTCTTTCTGATCTTTTATGTTTTATCTTTGCCTTTGTTCTTAGCCTTGTTTGTGTGTGTTGGTACGAGTTACATGGAATTTGCATGTCACAATTACTTTAAATGTTTCTGCAGGAGGAACGTGAGGGATCAAGAGTTTGGAGGGATGTATTATGCAATATTATCAGTCAAGTAAGTACACTATTTCTAAAGGCTTGAGGTAGTTGTTTCTCCCTGTATTGGTCAGTTGATATCTTCATTCCTCATTATGCAGCTCAAACATCATGTGTGCTGGGATTATTCGAATTTATTATTACCCATAAGGTCAATTCCATATTTATTAATACCCATTAGTAGCATGGATTTATTTGTTAGGCAGAAAATTTGTTCTAAATAAAATAATAATAATAATATAAAGGGAAAAAAAATTATACTTTATACTAAATTCTGCAGTTACTTAAGAATGAAGGATGACCAGCAAGAAGAGAGTAGACAATGAATGAGGCTTGCCAAATTGGTTGGGTTAATTTGGAATCAAATATTCCTGGGAACATTTTTTAAAAAATGGAATGCCCTTTTATACTTTTTTGTTTTCAGGTAGGTCTCCAAGTGATACCCTTTTAGCATATCTTTTCTCTGTGTGTGTGGGTGGGTGTGCATGTATGTATTTACTTGTCTGTGGTTTCTGATTTATAAATGAACAAGAGTTATGTACAATAAGAAAATGACTTGGGACTGGATTTAGTAGACGCTACAGCTTACTCTTTATATGCAACCAATGTTGTTGTGACTATGTATATTCATTATTCACATACCTATTGTAGGGATGAATCACTGCTATGTCAAGGACTTGCACTGAATAATGACTTGCAGCGACTTCTAGCCAAACATGAATACATCACCTCAGGAATTTCTGCGAAAACAGAGAAACCGAAGCTCGGACCTGTTCAAGCACTGGTGAATCTGGATGCTCCTCCAATTTTTATTCTTTGTAATATTTGTGTTGGCTAATATCTCTGGTACATCAGTTATTGTTGGAATTGGTCTTTTAAAAATTTATATTGGGTATAGTTCATAGATGTCAAAACATTAGTGTTTATGTTTTGCACAATTTTTTTAGAAAGCCAATGGCTAGACAATTGGGAAATTAGAATTAACTTTGAAAGACTTATGCAATGGATATCTAGAACTTGAATGAGTTTATTCTCATTCTAGAACAGATGCTTTGACTTTCTATTTTGTTGAATTAGTGGGGTTCTTTCCAGGGATTTTTGTATTTATCTGCTGCTGTATTCTGGAACTTATATTCTACAGGAGAGAGTCAATTTGTATTTTAAGACAATTTTAATTGCCTTCTGTATTAGATTGTTGTTGGATGATGTGAAACTGTGCATGAGATGGCTGCTTGGTTTTCTGGGATTGAACTTATTGGATTTTTTTCTTGAAGGATGTTGTATTGGGTACTATTATAGATGTGAGGGAATAGTAATCTCACAGAAATATCTCTATACAAAGTTTTATTGGGTACAAAATTAGTAGTTTTTTTTAAAAGGAAAAATTCTATTGCGGCGTTTTTCAAAACGCCACTATAGTTATATTTTAAAAAAAACAAAAAAGCTATTACGATGTTTTTGAAGCGTCGCTAAATACCTGTGTGACGTCATGTTACCATTGGTTGCCACATTTAGCGGCATTTTTATAAACGTAAAAACACCGCCTATACTAATTTTCCGACGTTTTTAAAGCGTCATAAACTTACAGCGACGGACGCGTCCTCGGCGTTTGGTGGTAAGCGTCACTAAAGGAATTAGCGGCGTTTTTCAAACATAAAGTAGCGTTTGCGTTTTTAAAACGCCGCTAAAAGTCATTTTTCCAGCAGTGACGTCATTTTTCCATTGGTATTATTATCAATCCATTTATCTTTTTTGTCTATCATAGATATGTTTTTATCAATTTTAAGCTTAATAAATTTATTTGTACAAATGCAATGTTGTTAATGTAAATAATGCAAATTTTTAGTAAATAATTTAATTTTTATATAATTCAATACATTAAGTCATATCACATTTATTATTATATCGATTAAGCCAACTATCCATTATTAACAACTCCCACAAAAATGCTATACGTCGTTTTTTGGCTACACACACAACTAAAATTTCAACTTTTTGCGACGGTAAAATACCGTCGCTAATACTCTTAATGCCGTCGCAAAAAACTTTTTGCGACGGTAAATGACTTTTTGCGACGGCAAGAGGGGGGTCGCAACTGAGGGCATTGCAAAAGAGTTTTTGCGACGGCACTGTGCCGTCGCTAATGTTTTGCGACGGCATTTTAGCCTTTTGCGACGGCACTTTACAGTCGCTAATAACGTTTAAAATTTCTTGACTTTTTGCGACGGCACTATTTTACCGTCGCTAAAAATGTTATTTGAGACGGCAAAAAATACCGTCACTAATAGTCTTTTTTTTGCAACGCAAGAACATTGTTTTTGCGATGGTGTGGTGCCGTCGCAAAAAATATTAAAAATATGAAAATTTCTATTTTTTGCGACAGTTTACTACCGTCGCAAAAAGTATTAAAAAAAATAAAATTTCTATTTAAATAATAAAATTTCTATTTTTTGCAACAGTTTAGTGCCGTCGCAAAAAGTAAAACTTGTAACAAAATCAATAAAAATATTAAAATTTTCTGTTTTTTGCGACGATGTAATGCCATCGCAAAAAAGAAAAAACATCCTGCGATAAAATTATGAAAAATATTAAAATTTCTCCAGAATATAAAACATTCTGTATAAAAATAACAATTTCTCCATAATAAATATTCTTCCATTCATAAACACATTAACAAAATTATCACACTACATAATGTTTCATAATACATATATAATGTTTAAATACATTATTTTGTTCATAATTCAAAATAACATAAACCAAAATTAAATGTTTTTCCAATCATTCTTCGTAGATAACAAAAACAAAAGTTAGTCACGTTCTTCACAGGCATGCATTCCACAAGCACTCTCCTACATGGGAAATATTTGAAAAATAAAAATAGTTAATGAGAATATAATTATGTGTTAATATTTGACTGAAATTATTGTGTAAAAAATTTATGATACTTGCTACACTACCAAACAGATACATGCATTAAAAAAAATTCAAGATCATAATAAACAAAATAACAATTTGTAAATAAATTTTTCAATCAATAGACATTTACAAGACAAAAAGTATCAAAAAAAGATTTTATAAAATATTTTACAAAAACAAAAACAAAAAAAAACAAAAACAAAAAAAAGATTAAAATA